GAGGTTTGGTGAGGATGTCCCAAACTTTATCCTGACCTTGAAGCTGATGTCTCCATAGGCACTGAGGGCTAAGTCCAGGAAGTCTACAATCTGAGACGGACTCATCCAGATCCTGCTTCTGTGACTCCTTCAAACACGCATTCTTGAGCTTTTCATGGCTATTTGATGAAAACCTATAAGCTGGTTGTCAAGGAGAACAAGAAATCATCAATTCCAAGGTGCTGAAAAGAGAGGGTGAGGTAGACAGAAATAAGTGTATACTTCTACCACCAAAGAGAATGATATATCTAAATGCCATGGTCAATTTACAAAGATAAAAAGCTCTAAAGTGTCTCTTTATTTTTCTATTCAATTCTAATCCTACCTTTGGAGAAGACCGAGGGAGCCTTCTCCCATATTTGTCAAGACCAGAGCCCGTTTTAGAGATAATAGTTTCCTGGGTAGCTGTTCAAAGCCAGAAAGTGGGACAGTAGAGATCCAAGAGGGACATTTTTTAAAAGTATGCTTATTATAGCCCACCGGGGATATTATCTGGAATGGCAACAAAAAGTCTTTACAGAGCAGAGAAATGTTCATTGCTTATTTTATAAACCTCCCCAAAGTACCTGAAGGCTAATTCTATTCTCACCTAAAGTTCAAAGCCTGACTACCAGACAGTATGGTTTGAAGTAGAAAAGTAGGATGGAACAATTTCACCACTTTGAAGTCCAAAGAAAGGGGGATCATTTCAGGGGCTTGAAGCATACTCACACTCCCTTCTTTTTTTCCTCAGTACCACTGCAATCAAAGGGTGAGACTGCATGGAACATTCAAAACCTTAGATAAAAATTAATTTGCTTCCTCTCAAATTACAATTCTTTCCCAATGTGGAAGGTCCATTTCCATTGTACCAAAACTTATTTAAATTATTTACAAAGTAGATGCAAAGCATTGTGATTGCATACATATGGAGTAGCTGAAATATATTTGCAATAGTTTTTTTTCCAAAGGAAAATAAATATGTATATTTTAAGCTCTAGAGATCTAGAAATATCCAAGTTATTTGTTTTGTTACAAAAGACTGCAAAACAGTAACACTCTCCTCTTGCTCTTTTCCCCAGTCTCCAATACATTTGTCTTGTACTGCTCATCCACTTCGTTTCACAGCGTTATTTAAAAAGATCTCCTCGTTTCTCCTCTTGCACTCTCCAGCCCATCTTTCCACAAGAGCTACTTTCAAGTTGCACATCTTTCTAAGAAATAGTTAAAACCTAACTCTTAAGAAATTAGAGTCTTTCTAGAAACTATGTAATCAGGACAGAGTTTCAAAAAAGTAAAATGTATTTCATTATCAAGCCTAATAGCTTCAGTGTAAACTATTTATGTGCATGTACCCCTGTGTACATGTGTGTGCAAATGTGCACACATGACACATACATGTGGGATCCTTCCTCAATTGTTCTCCACTTTAATTTTTGAGACAGGGCCTCTCACCAAATCTGGAGCTGACTGAACCAGGTAGACTGGCTTGCCATCAAGCTCCAGGGAACCTCTTGTCTCTGCCTACCCAGTACTAGGATTATAGGCATGCCATCACCCCACCTGACTTTTGTATGAATGCTGGAGATTGAAATCAGGTCCCCATGCTTGTACAGGGAGCACTTTACCCATTGAGCTATCTCTCCAGCCCTCTCTGTAAATTCTTTGGGTGGCAGAAATTTGATATTTTTGGAGCTAAGCTCCTTGCACATACCTGTTATTAGACCTTAGAAAGAGGCACGCGCTCACCACCCAGAACAGGACTGTGCATTCTTAATCTGCCATTGTGCACCCTCGTGTGTCTCTCTGTCTGTTTTTTCAAAGGAACAAAACAACAGAAAATTACTTCTTGTTTTAGCATTTATGGTTTCCAGAACCAGAAAATAAAGACTGGCATTAACAGAGTGGCTGGCTTAGCTGGGAGACACGTGAAGCTGGGAGAGCTGGAGATCAAGTGGCCATTAGCACAAAACTTTAAAGGGAGAATGCAACTTTTAAAAATCAGCCTGAGTGAGGTGTAAGTCTCTTGTGATGCATGCCTCCCGGAGCCCACTGATCTCGGCATGATTGACAGTTATGAGAATGACCTTAAGGTAGGTGTGTGTGCGGCTGGTTTTTTTTTGTTGCTTGCTTGCTGTTTCCATGACTTAAAGGGAAGTAGTTTGAGGTGTCAGTTACTGCACTGCTAATCTTCTCTAGGCCAGCAGGAACTGAGTACTAAACTGGAATTCCTACCTGTCTTTGACAGGTTACTAAAATAGCCGGCTGCCCTCGGAGTGCTGGTGCCATCGGATGTAACTTATTCATTTGCTGTGTCCTTTACATTCCTTCCCAGATCTGCCACTTTTCTCATCAGGGCTACTGCCAGAATGTGAGCATCAGATCTGCTTAATGTCACTCTCCTGAAAATGGACCACAGTAAACATATTGGGCAGTCAACAAGAAGTGCTGGAGATGAACAATTTAGGCTTAATATCTGCCAGCGAGAGTCAGAACCATCTGGAAAAGCCAGTTAATGACCACCATTAGAACAGCATGCATTGCTGGGCTTAACTGTAATCTCCCAGCCTCAGTTTAACAAATGTAAGGGGACCAAGAGGGGATTTGAGCACTACCACCAAAGATCCCCTGAGGTCTGAGAAAATGAGATTTGGTCTCACCTGGGGGTAACTAAAACGTCCACACACACTGTCACTTTCAACCAACCACCATCCAGTAAGGGACAAACGGAAGAGGATTAAAGTAATTGGCCCAGAAATTAAATGTGTTCATTCTTTCCCTCCCTCCAGCAAAAGAGAGTGCTTCTGCCTGAGCTACTGAGGCACAAGAAATCTGTTCTTGACCATAGAGAGTTGATAAATTCTTACAGGGCTCCTGTGGAGTGGGCTGGCAAAAAGTACCCCTACTAATTCATTAGCTTTAGCCTGTGGATCAGCTGGAAGACGCAGGAGGATAGAAGCTTTTATCCAGATAGAGCTCACAGATTGAGATTCATTGTAAATAGCTCTACAGATCAAAGGGAGGTGACCCCAAATCATGAAAATCCATTTCTAAAAAGTACATTAATGCTTCTAAAAACTTGTGCTGCCATGGTTTTCAGTGATTGGTCATTTTATTTATTATGCTGCAATTGAGTTTCAAAGGCATTATTCATTTGGTTTTACAGATAGAGAAGTAAAAGAAATAGAGCAAGTGAGGCTGTGTATATTCTGGAAAATAGACATCATCCTGTTGTAGGTAGTGACAACCCATTAGTTTAATATTTTGATGGCTTAATTTCCTTTTTCCTTTGATTTCCTTTAGTACCAGAATCATTTGTCTAAGAAACAATAACAGAACTGCGACTTTATGTAGAAGCAAAACCTTATCACTTCAAACTTAGACAAGTAGTCTTGGACTTGAGATTAGACCCTAAGCTTTTGATTACATATGTAACAGAGTGCTGCCCTGTACCATCCCAGCAACATTGGCACAAGATGAAGAGCCGCATGTCCCCTACAAACATCATAGATGGAAAACACATCGCTTGCCTGCTGTCACTGCCCATATAGCATTTACATGGAAAACATTTTACTAGAGCCCTCTTTCCTGTGGGCTGAGACAGAGCATTACATGCTTCTCAGCTCAGCCAATTACAAACATTGTCTTGTGAAGTGAATGGAACCTATTGGAAATCCTGTGTGGCATTTTTATCAGAGATACAATCCAAATCATTTTTATTCTTATATAAAAAGCAAAACTGATGCTTGGAAAGATGATTTCTGAATATTTGCCATGTCCCTGGCAATAATACCAGATTTCAAAAAATTGGCACTAAGACAAAACACATCTTCAAAGAGGAATAGATGTTTTACTTAACGAAGATGCAACACAGGACTTAGGTTGATTATGAAGGTGTACGGTCACACTCACTTCCAGGGCCAAGAATGCAGAGCTAAAGATGAAGAGGAAGAAAGAAAATGGTTTAGTCAACATGTCTGCTTCATGAGTCTCCCCACACTTCCTGAACACTGTACTCGTGGACCGCAGGCCCAGCGAGAGCACACAGCGTAGCAACACCACTCCGCAAGACCAACTGCAGTGATGAATCAGATTGCTGCCTGGAATTTCACCAGTGTGAGAAACCCAAGTTTTATGACTGGACTAGCATCTGAAAACACTTCCTCAGAGTTCCAAGGAGACTGAGTCCTCTTCACTTCTTGCAGAAATCAATAACCTTCCCCTCCTTTTTAAAATTTGCTATATGTTTACCACCTAAAAGCAGTGATATTTCACAACAGCGATGCCTTTCATGACAGGGCCTTGCAAATCTTTACTGGTGAATTGCTTTTAGAGGGCTAGAACGTAGACTTCTGAAGGTAAGATAGCTGACTATATGCCATATGGTTGGTGGGAGTCAGCTTGATATTTAAACCTACATTTGCCCATCTCTAAAATTCATTCATTTTACTTTCACGATGGTGTGAACTTAGGGAAAGACATCATCAATTAAAAAATTCTTTGCACTGTTTTCTGCCAATTGTGTTTACTATTGGGAAAAAAATCTGCTCTTGAGCAGTGCAAGAGTTGTGAGGTTCTGCCCCATGAAGTTTCAGGCATAGCCTTAGCACCCTGACCATCTTCTGGCTACTCAAATGCAAACAAACCACATTTATAGTACTTTGTAACTTAGAATTGCTACATACCTTATCTCTCGAAAGTAAAGAATACTATTCACTTCTTAATGGTGGAGACAATTAAATGTGCTGTCTCAAATCACAGATAAGGTGTAGAGAGCTACTTCCTCCAAATTGAAAGATTCTGACCTGGAGGGAGGCTCCTTAAGAAGATGGAGTAACTGATCTTACAAGGCTCAGGATATAAATAAACTCAGCAGTTTCCCAAAGCTCCTGAAACTTGCAAGAGTCAGAAAGCGCCGCCCCCCCCCCCCAGTTATATAAAAAGCAGTAACTGCTGAAAGCCTCCCAGAGAACTCCAGGGATGCAGAAAGTTACTCATGCTGGAACTGCCTTTGGGGTGATGCAGCTATCTTTGAGTCATCCATGCTCCTGTAAGTAACCCCACTAAATTCAATGGTTTACTAAGCTAGACGGGTGGAATTATTTTTTGGTCTGCTGGCAGTACTCTATCTGGAGTGATTAGACTTTTTCCTTGGCTTCCCAGGAAAAGTCACACAATACAACTGGTGCCCAAACATGGACTGAAAGAACCAAAGACAAGTTGAGAAGCATATTACTAACTGTTCTATTGCTGTGATAAAACGCCATGACCAAGTCAATTTATAGAAGAATCTATTTGAGTTTTCAGTTTTGGGGGTGAAAGGTCTGTAAAGGCAGGGAAGTCATGGCAGCAGAGGTGGTCAGAGCAGAATGCTGACCAAGGCACAGAAAGCAGAGTACTGGAAATCCAGCAAAGAACTCTAGTCTGCCCCCTACTGACATGCTTCCTCCAGCAAGGCCACACTGCCTAAAGTCTCCGGAAACAGCACCAACTGGGGACAAAATGTCCAAATACTCAGAACCTCTCAGGGACATTCTCATTCAAACCACCTCAGGGAGGAATAGCTGCATGGCCCATACAATAGGTGCTGAGACATGCAACTGAGGCTGATCTGTATGAGGGTGGAGTACCTACAGGGCAATTCTAATGTGTCTGCCTTTCCCCATGTGGCATGAGGCGATGTGCCTGGTTGCTGTGAGGTTGCATGCTCCCTGAGATGGCTGATAGAATATGCAATCAAGACCAAGCCATCTGAGAGTAGAGCATCTCTGAGGGAGTCGCTTAGTTGCCATCATCCTCTACTTGGTATAAGGTGGCATATCTCCTTAATGAATGAGTTCTGCCTGATGAGATACGCCCAAATGGCTGATAGATTAAAGAATATATTGCAGTCTCTAAAAGCACCACACACAAGACAAGGCCATAAGCAGGCTGTGCTATCAATCTTGTGGCATTTGTTGTGGGTGATAAGTCTTGCAACTGGGGCTCAGGTGCCATGTAAGGGAGGAATGACAGTGGGGAAGCCATGCAGCTAGAGTCCTCCATATTAGCCACTGCTTTGGTAAGTAAATTGGATAAAAGAGAGACTGAGATGGAGATGTTAGCTTGCTGTTTCCTATGGCTGGTGCCCAAAATGGAAAGTATGAATTATATCTGTGTTAAAGAACCCTGCTGTGATCCAAGAGCTTGGAATCCATAAGAATCTGTCAGTGAAGAGGGAGAATACCAGGTAACAGTGATGGAAGTTACCCCTCAGATCTGACCTCTAATATAGAGGAATAGAAAATCCATGATTCAGTGTGCATGTAGTATGCCTTAATATATCCTTGTATATTCAGTCTGCCTGAATAATAATGGCCCAGGGTAGGAAACCATTATAGTCAGGGAGTAGTCTGCTTTTGAACAGCTTGAGTTGGGAAGGATTTTTAAGTGCGAAATGAAAGAACATCTCACAGTCTGGCTTGTCAGGCTGTGAGGCAGGAGGATGGACGGAATCGGTTGGGGTACTGTGGAAGCAGATAAACTGAGTAATATAACTATCCATCCTGCCTTGAGACAGTCTACATAACAGGCAATATAAGAAAAATCAGTCCCTGATGGACTGGCTCATATGAGCCATTAGGGAAACTCAGCTGTTGGCAGCTGAGGTGTCCATGAATATCAGGAAGAGGAAAGACGAGAAAGGAAGAGCAACCATTAGTGGGAGAGCTGGGGCTGAGAGAGGTGTGTTTGATGCCCATTCACAGCATTTGGCTTTCTGTTCATTCAGCAGAGGCCTAGAGACTGGAATGGAGCCTTAGTAGCTTTGCTGAGCACCATGGTGGAATGTGATCTTCATTAGGCAGAAGTCCTGACAAACCTGAGTGACTTTAATCAGCATGTAAAAAGGGTTCATAAAATACAAAAGTAATCAAGAGGAGAGAAGAGAAGTGCAAGGTAGACAGGGGGTTGTCCAGGCCACTCACAGGCAAATGTGGCAAGATTTTTATTCAGCCCAAATTCCTAGGGAAAAATATTAACAGAAAGCCAAACACTGTGCTAGTAATCTGTGAGGATTTAAAGCCTGAGTTCATGGAAGAAATAATTAAGCCTTTCCAAAGGGTGGATAATTATGCCCCCAGATAGATGATGTAAAGTATAGCTGGGGGTAGAGATTGTTCATCCAGTCCAGGGCCCTTTCAGCAGCCAGTGTGGCCAATGGAAAGACAGGGCTACAGTGACAGCCTCAGCAGTGTCAGAACCAAGGAGGCAGCTCCTGTGGCAGACACAATGATGTGGGTGTGGCTCTGCCCGCTGTGGGCCTGAGCCAGGCCAAGCCCTGAAGCTTCCCCAATAGGGACTTGTCAGAGATGAGGAAATGCAACCGTGCAACAGCAGCAGTATCTCAAAGGAGGCTTGTGACAAACATCTGTGTATTACGGAGGCCTAATAGGGCAAAGTCTCCCATCCACCTTGGCACTTACTTGAAACAGATGATGGTAGACCTTCAGAGATCCCAACAATCCTTTCTTTAAAAAGTTTATTTATAAAACGCTAAACATGTGTTTTTGTAAAAAAAAAAAAAAATCTGCAAAGGCAGTAAAGACAGCAGTTAGGAAATGTAAATGAAGGTATACTCTGTGAGTCAGAAAGAGAAGCCATTAGGTCTTGAATGAAATTTTCAGTACAAGTTCTTGGCCAGGGAGTTGTCAGCTTGAAGCCCCACAAACCGTAAAGGCTGTTGCCATGGTTCTTGGTTGCATGACAGAACTAAGTCTCTATTGAAGGCACTCATACATTGACCGTGGAACATGGAGAAATTGGGCTGGAAATGAGCTGGAAGTTCCCTCCCTGATGACTGGCTCTCATCATGCTGGGAGGCACCATGCAAGCTGCTGAGGGAGACTCTGTTCTACAGCCATGCAGAAAACTCCATGGATACAGCTTTTGTAAGACATCACCCATGATATGGTGGGTTTTTAGGAGATGCAGCTGCCTTTGAGTCACCCATGCACCTGGAAGTCACCCCTTACCACTCCGATAACTTCCTGGCTTAGTAAACTAGACTCAGATGGAATGGTTTCTCTGGTCTGTCATTGGTACCCTAGCTTTGCTGAACAGATGTTTAACAGTTCATATCCCTTCAGGAAAAAATCACACAACATATGGAAAAATTCAAGACATGCACCTGAATATGTGCTGAGAATTCCAAGCTTTCTTCTATTAAGTTATGCTAAATGGTAGATCTTGATATGTGGTGTCAGGAGAAGACAACATTGGAGAAGTGAAGAACAGGAGAGAGGAGGGGAGGGGAGGGGAGGAGGGGGGAGGGGAGAGGAGAGGAGAGAAGAATATAATGAGAGTTGAGTTAAAAGGGCCAAATCAAAAATGAGTTATTGAGGGACTAGAGAGATGGCTCAGTAGTTAAGAACACTGGTTGTTCTTGCAGATGACCTGGGTTCAAATCCCAGCACCCACATGGCAGCTAACAACTGTCCATAACTCCAGTCCCAGGGAATCCAACAGCCTTTTCTGACCTCCACAGGCATTGCACAACATGGGTGCACTTACATGCAGGCAATACACACATAGACATAAAATTAAAATAATAAAAATTTTTAAAATGAGTTATTGATACAGTAACATTTGAATTATCTCAAAAGAAAGATAATATAAAGAGAGGTAGAAAGGAATTTCGAATTAAAATAATAAGAAAGTTAAAAGGTGTTAACAGAGAAAGTTATATTTCAGAAAGGCTAATAAGATCTGTGAACCTAGAACATATTTTGTATGTTGATGCTGGGTGGAAAACTAATAAAGTCAGCTAATGCCAGGTTATGAAGGGGGATATAATCATGCCAAGAATTTTTGATATTTTTGCTAAAGGATTTTGCAAGGAAGCTGTAATGAACAGCTTCATGTGTGGGGAAAATGGTTTTGGGGGGCCAGTACAGTGACTATGCTGAGGACAACAGAATGAATACAGTATCTACAGTACTGACAGAATAAGATACTGGGTGAGTCTGAAGCAGACCAGAGGCCCTTGGGAACAGAGAAGCTAGGGAGTGTGAGGACAGAAGAGAAGAGGCACTCGGGAGTTCGCAGCCACTCTTGAACATCAGGGAAGTGGGAAGAGTGGATTAGCTATATGAAATGTAAGCAACTTAGGGAGGAAAATAAATCATTTGGTTTCTAAGCCACTGAATTAGATGCCTTCTTCCCAATAGGTTTTTGGAAACATGGAACTGGATCTCATAGGATCAAAGAAGAGTACATAAATTCTGGAGCCATTTTGTGTAAGTGTTATGCACAGACAACAGGGATGGTATGTCTAATGTGGTGCTCTAAAAATGATACCCAATAAGGACTGGGGAAAAATCTAGTTGAGGACAGGTAATCATTTGCCACAGTGAGCCACAGAATACAGTATTTGGTTGGGAAGTCTGGAAACCAATCCAGTTCTAAGAGCTGGAAGAAGATAGCTTTGGGCGTTTTCTGTGAGCATGCATATTGAAAACACGTACAGCAGGTGCCATGGCTGCTGGCTTCCTTCCGGCCTGCAAACTCTGTTCAGTTAATAACAGCATTCGGCCGTGTGGCACGTTTTCACTCTTGGAAAGAAGTTAATTTCCAAAATTAGGCTGTTCTTCTAAAAGATTTCTGAGTCCTACAAGACAATTAGGAAGCCAAGCCTCAAAACAGAATCTGATGTAACTCACCTTGTTTTCACTTGCAAAGGGCGGATTTCGGAGCTGGCGATACTCTGAAGCTATGATGTAAGCCAAAGACTAAATTTTTAAAATTTCAGGGTACAGAATATGATTAGTAGACTATTTTATTTTTCATGGAACCTAGCTCAAAATGACTTAGAAATAAATGAAAGACAAGACCAAATCTTGTTCATTTCAAAACTGTACCTTATTGGCAGATTATGCTGAGGAATGGGGAACTTGAGATACCAGGTTCTAACAAGAAAACTATATACTTAGGGACCAGCTCTAACACAGGTTTTGTTGATCCTGCAAAATTCTCAATTGCTACAACTTTTTTCCTTGTCTATTTGGAGCAAATGCTAAGCAAGAAGTGACAGGATGCTACGCCTTCAAGATAAGTCTGTGCCAGTTGGAAAAGAGTCTGCTATTACCACCACAACACACTTCCCCAGCTAAGGCTGTTGCAGCTGAGGAAAAGCTGGGCCCCACCTGGGAAAAGAATATGTTTCTCTTTAGAATCCCAGAAAGAAAAGGAAAAACACTGCAGGGGGCCTCCCTCAAATCAAGTTACAGCTTCAGGCCTTCAGTAGGACTCTTAGTCTTCAAAATATGAGATGCTGGCAATTGCTATTGCTGAGATTCCTGGTCTGGAACCCTGCCTCAACTCCTTTCCCCTGTTCGCTTTCCCCAGTCCTCCCTGGAGTTCGTACTCTGTCCCACCTGGGAGGATTTGTTGTAACTTCTCTGACTCTCTTACCTTTCATTACTCACCAAGTCTGAAACCACTTTTCGCTTTAGGAACTAGCCCTTCCAAGCTCTGACATCTTGCCTCCCTGGTAAGGCTTGAAGTTGCTTGAGGGAAATGCTAGACTCCTATCTCATTTTGTAAAAAATGACTAGAACCAAGAGTTAGTCTGACTAGAACCAAGAGTCAGACTTCTTAGCCTCCTTCCTGAGACACATCAGTGCATATGTAATCACTTATGTTCTTTTTTTTTTAATTCAGCATCAGTGTGATGGTAAATTACTTTCTGAATGAACAATGAGTCATATAATCACTTTCCAAAGTGACTGTTTTCTAAAATCAGGTAAGAAAAGGATGCAAATCGATCCCTAGTGGACAATAGGAGGGAAGGCTGTACAAAGAACAGTTATGAGGATCTACATCGCAATCTTAGCAACAATGAGTGTTTTAGGAAAGGATTCCTTCTGGGTTTTATGACAAATGAGACTGGCTATGAAAAATGCATCATAACCACGGCAGTTGCAGGCTAACTGTGCATGGTACATATGAGGGGTTTGTGGCCCTCTGCCCAGTGATCATTTTTTAAGTTTTATTATTAAAAGTCCCAGAAAATTCAGGATTACAGTAGCTTCAAAATTCTTTGTATATTGGCCCTGGCCACATCTGAAAAAAAAAAAAAATGCTAGATTATAAACTGTTTTTTTGTTTTCTCTCCCTCTTTAACAACTGGAGTTCCCAGTCACTTGAGTAAAGAGAAAGGGCAGAGAAACTTCTTTTTCTATCCTTGCTTCCAATTAACCTGTAATAGAGAGTTTTGTTTGCCTTGTGTTTTGGCTCATGGCCCCACCTCAAGCTATGCAGGTGATGGCCCTGAAAAAAATAGGGACACTTTCTTCGCCTAATTGGAAGTGAGTCCACACACCCGCTCCCTTCTCTCTGCGCTCTAGCTGCCCTCACTAGTGTAGGCCAGCTTCCTACCTTTCTACAATGCTAAATTTCATAGAAAACAAGAAGAAAAGACAAGAGGACTAAAACGAACCACAGAGCAAATGTAACAAACCAAAGACAAACCTAGAGCCAGCATTGTTTCTAAGCACTCACAATTATCCTCAAAGGGGAAGCTACAAATAATCCAAAGCACCTTTGCATTTCATTAAGGCACAGTCCTGGTATTTGGGATCAAAAGCTGACTTATCTTTTTGTAGGTATTCATTCAAAATTAAAACTTGCCAAGATTTCTTGAGAATTCAGGGAAGTAATGCTAATAGTTTCTTACTGCGCTAGAACAAACTACCACAGGCTGAGCAATTTAAAACACAGATGCAGCATTGTTTTCTACTTCTATAGCTCAGAAGATTTAAATGAAAGTATTAGCAAAGTGTTCTAGTTTGTTTCTCCATTGTGGTGACAAAACACTCTGACCATTACCAACTTGGGGAGGAAAGGGTTTATTTGGCTTACTTCTCCTGGGTCACAATTCATCAAGGATCTCAAGGTAGGAACTCAGAGCAGGAACCTGGAGGCAGGAGCTGAAGCACAGGCCATGAAGGAACACTGCTTCCTGGCTTGTTCCCTTGGCCCATACTCAGCCTGCTTTCTTATACAACACAGGCCCACCTGCCCAAGTGTGGCACCACCCTCCCACATGACTCAATAATCAAGATGATGCTCCACAGTCATGGCCACAGGCCAGTCCTATGGAAACAATTCACCAGTTGAGGATCCCTCTACCTAGGTGTAAAGTTGACACTAAAGCTATCCAGCACACAGGGCTTCCTTCTACCCATTTCTATGCTTTAGGAAACAATTGGTTCCTTAAGTTTTCCAACTTCCTTGCTTCCTTGGTTTCCTGCTTTCCTTGGTTCATAGTGTCCCTTGCCATCTTCAATGCACATCACTCCCACCTCTAGCTCCATAGCCACACCTCTTTTTTCTCTTTGACGCTAACTCCTCAGCCTTATATTTATATGGACCGTTAAGATTACATCATGCACACATGAACAGTCCAAGAGAATCTTCCCATCCTACAATCCTTAACCACATCTTCAAGTTCTTTTGCCACATAAAATAATATATTAATAGGATATAGGGATAAGAATATGGGCATCTTCAAAAGGCAATTACTCAGGCCAGTAGGCAGATTCGATCTTAAGTGTATGTGCAAAGAATTCAAATACAAAACAAGTAATCCAAATTTGGCCATTGTGGACAACCCAGGTATTATGGATGTGTCAGGATACTGTCAATAAGTACCACAGACTGGGTGATTCATCAACAGAATTTTATTTCTCAGGGTAGAAATCTGAAGTTAAGATGTCAAGGTGGTTAGGTTCTGGAGAAGCCTTTCTCCTGAGTTGACAACTGCCATTCTCCAACTGTATCTTCAAATGATGGAAAGACCACAAGGACACTTTTCAGAAGGGCACAAATCCTTTCTGCGAGGGTGCCACTCTCAGGACCCAAACACTTCAGGAAGACCAGCCTGTAACAGCATCACACTACAGCTTCAGGCTTCAGTATGTCACTGTGGGAGGAGGTGACAGAGATACTCCTGCCATAACACTAGGTCTTCAAGAAAATGAGTCCCATGATGTTCTAAGTTGCAAAATAATAGGTAGAGATTTCCCAAATGTGCTCTTCCTTCTGCCCCAAGTGCCTTTCTCTTCTTCTGCATTATTTGGATACAGAGAAACAGAGAGAGCAAAAACTATAAAGAGAGGGCTGGAGATATGGCTCAGGGGTTAAGAGCATTGGCTGTTCAAATCCCAGCACCCACATGGTGACTAACAACCATGCATAACTCCAGTTCCAGGGGATCCAGTGCCCTCTTCTGTCATCCACGGGTACTGCATGACACGGGTGCACTTACACACATGTAGGCATAACACTCATACACATAAAATAAAAATAAATAATAAATAAATAAAGATACATAAAGAGAGTGGACAACTAGCTGTTTTGTATATGAAAAGAATTTCTTCATACTAAACCAAACATTTTTTAACAGTGAAGAAAATGGAAAGAAACTTTAAGAGAGAAAAAAAAGACTGATGGAAGATCTTAAGCTGTAAAAGTGAAATCTCGTCTTTTTTTACAGAATTGAGTTCCCATATCTTTATCACCTGGGTACTTCTTTTTCTAAACAAACTGTTATAGTGGAGCTATAAGCTCAGAGAACACTAGGAAAATTCTAGAAGATTAGCAAAGGTGATTTAGATATATTATGTTGATTTAGATATCAGAGTGTTTTGAGAGATTCCTTCCACTAATCACAGCAACTAAGAAGACTGCGTATTAATCAGCTCATGTTTGCAGCTCTTGGAGAGGCAGAGGTAGAAGATAGAAACCAAGAATTATAAAGAGAACAAAAGGAGCATTAGTCAGATAGGTAAGAATAAGTAAACATCATAAATTAGGTTAATAGCAGGATTCTACATCTTCCTTTCCCTCCTACTATGAAAGAAACCTTAGACCGAAACTAGAAAGATTGTGTGCATATTCACATATATTCATTTTAGCACATTTCCTATTCAATATTAACTAGAATCATTTTGCACAGTCTTTACATGAAGTCTAGGATACGGTCCAAATAAGTCTTTAAAATTTAAACCTATTTAATTCTTGTTCTAATCCATCTGAACTTGTTCTATTCATTTGGAAGTCAGTGTATGATAATAGGAATAAAGTGAAAAGAGGTAGGTGGGTGACCAACGTTGTAAACCCAGCTCTTCTGCAAACTGTCTCCAACACTTCAAAAAACCTCTTGCCAAAGTGTGTTTCAGTGGCTGTATTTGTTAATAAAAATACTTATTTTAAAAACATATGTGTAAATGGAAAA